CAAAAAATCATTTTACGAATAGATATTTAAGCAAAAAAAACCTGTTAGAATGATGACATCGGCCGAAAAACTGGTATGTTTGACAAATTGAGCTAATTCGAAAGCTTGCGAAAGACGATGAGGCAAATACAGGTCATTCGCTCGATTATACTCAGCATGCAGCTAGAATTGACAAAATTTCACTTTTTTGGCTAGCAAACCTAAACTTACTAAAACCCCGTTTAAATCCTAGTTCCTCTACCCCTCACATCGAATGAAATATGAAAAGCGATATCAACAAACGTAAAAAACCTGATTTGTAAGAAAAATTCTAAATTTTTTTCTTCTCCTCCTTTTCTCTCCTTTCTTCTCCCCTTCCCCACAAGAAATTCAGCGAAAAAAAGTCTAAAACCTTTTCGTTTTATGCCAAATTATGCACATTTTTTCGCTCATAAAGAAATTTAACCCTCCCCTCCTCTTCCGTTTTCTACCCCCTCCCTCCCCATAAGAAATTCATCGAAAAAAGCCTAAAGCCTTTTCGTTTTACGGCACATTACGTATATTTTTTGGCTCACAAAAAAAAAAGATTTGAAAAAAATGTTGAAATTGAAAAGAAACATACATGAGTAGCATAGTAATTGATGCGATATTCCCCAATTTCGATTTCCACCATTCCAACCACTTTTCCGCCAAACCAATCACCCCTGACAGATGTAAATTTATAAAAGTGCATGTAGTTAAGCTCTTCTGTAGTTAAAAATGCCTCTGCGGACAGGAAAAATCTGGCTATCCTAAGAGTGTATATGCCCATAGGCGAATCCAGAACGGCTTCCTAAGAGGTCGGGAGGGGGAGGGGAGAAAGATGGGTCTACTGGTGCGGCGACGAGCGGAAAGGGAGAGGGAGAAAGTGGGGTTTCTGGGTGGAGGAGGCGACGAGGTGTGTAGAAGAGGGTTTTCTTCCGTTTTAGCTTTAAACCCGAACTTTTGAAGCATTGGTGCCTGTGCTGCTGGAGGGGAAAGGGGGCGAAAGACCCATCCCCCGTCCTCCCCCTGGATCCGCTTATGCACACGCCATTATCAAGGTCGTCCAGATAACAGATGCAATGTAAAATTATGAGAGTAACAGTGAAATTGAAGTTATGTGAGAACACGCCTTTGAATCCAGCGAAAACGAGAAATAAGGCTCCAGTGGACAGCTGAATCCAACGAAAATAGAAAAATCAGTCTCTCTACGATTCGTTTATTCGCTTCAAATTTTTTACGAATCAGAATCATACCCTCACCTTCTAAGGAATCTCTGATGAAGTTGATGGCATGGGCCTACGGGGACGATGGTGGGTGGAAAGGAGAGTAGAGATCTTGGGAAGGAGATGATAGTGGGCGTGGAAAGAAAAGCTCCCTCCCATCCAGGAACTATGCAAAGGCTAGGAACAAAGTTGCAGCACTGCTACTTAGAGTTACTTTAGGCTTCAGTTTACTTTAGTTTTAGCTTTAGACCCAGGCTTTTGGAACACTGGTACCTATTTGTTTGCTGGAGAGAGGGAGGGGGGACGGACGAAAGACCCATCATCCCCTTCCCGCTTGGATTCGCCTAAGGTTGATGGCATGGTTCCGAATCAGACTTTTGTCAGACGATCCTTTCTGCTAGTAAAATGCTTTCGATGCAGAAATAATGTTCAAATTCACCCACGTTATTTAGAGAAGGAGACAAAAGAAGGCTTTTTTTAAATTTGTCTTCCAAAAAATACCTGTGTATATGATGAGCAAACCCGTTCAAAGAATAACGATGCATTAACGTTGAAACAATCGAATGGCGGCAAAATATGCATACACCGCTTCCGGTAAAGCCACTGCAACACTGAACTTTTTTAAAAAATTTCAAAATTAAACACTTTTATCATGTCATACCAGTACAGCCGTAAGGTTATGCAAGCATTATGCAGGATCGACAGCAGCCAGATTACGACAGAAGGCTTGGATGTTGCACCCTAATAGAAATTGAGAAATTTTAGTATAAATTAGATATTTGGTAAAATTAGTGAAAAAAGAGAAAATTACAAATATCTCAAATTTTTTAAAATTAGTAAAAACTGAGATATTTTAGTAAAAAAGTGAGACAATTACAAATGCCTCAAATTTTTTAAAATTAGTAAAAACTGAAATATTTTAGTAAAAATTAAAGATCTGGCAAAAGTACTAGAAAATTATTTTTAAATATCTCAAATTTTTTAAAATTAGCAAAACTGAGATATTTTGGTAAAAATTAGATAATTGGTAAACTAACAAAAAATGAGATATTTTTAAACGTCTGAAATTTATAAAATTGGTAAAAACAGAGAATTTTAGTGAAAAAATAGATATTTAGTAAAATTAGTAAAAAACTAGGATATTTTTAAATATCTAAGGCTGTTGCGTCGAAGGATCTACGAGAAACGGATGCGAGCGTGAGGGGGGCTCTAATAAAAATTTATGTTCTCATCAGTGACTTTCATGTTTCAGAAAAAATGCATTTAATATGTTTGACTTGCTTGAAAAAGGTACCTGTGAAAGTAATAGCTGAAAGGGTAAGCCACTTTGAGCATTTCCTGCAAACGAATAAAATCATCTTCACTCCACACCTAAAACATAAAATAATTAGCCAGTGCATCGGCTACCAGTGCGAAAATGCGTTTTTTGCACAGTTCCCCGCAGGCTTTTATCGCTAACGGCACTGTTTTTCCCCGGCAGATGCTTCTAGCTAAAAGAATTGAGACTGGTCACCATGACTGCCGCAAAAAATTCCCTTAAAATTTCGGCTTTCTAGCTTTTCTGGCTCTCAAATTAGCAATTTATCCGCCAAAAATTTTCACGGGTCCGTATGTGATAACCACCTGGGCAAGTTGAGCCCACACTTAGGGGACAGAGGCCCGTACATGCATGTAGATTAAGTTCCCAAAGTTTCAATCTTGTAGCTTTTGTGGGTCTTGAGATGAAAAATCGGTACAGACAAACACACAAACAAACAAGCATAAATAACCCCTCGACAATATGCATTTTCTACATTGCATAGATGCAAAAAAAAAGCATAAACATAAAGATCCACTGTTTCATCAAAAGTGACTTAGATAAAAATCACGAAACTCATAATTTTTTATCGAAAAAAAACATTTATGGCTTAAAGTTCTGATTTTGAAACAACAGATGAACAAAGCGGATTAATGAATGGTACCCAAATATAACAGATGACGAATAATGGAGAAAATGTAAAGAGTAAACCCCCTGCCCTGAAGCAAAATGCCCACTTCTTCAAGAGAAACCACGTCGTATTTTTGCTCGAGAAGTGCCTCGCCTATTTTGGCCATACGATAGCGCGAATCGCTGCTCCCGAACGGCCATCGAAGTGGCAAAGCCCTGGAAAAGCGGAAATATCACTGAAATATGAAGTTGGATTCACCAAAAACTAAAAAAACTATAAAAAAACTCAGTCCCTTAGCTGTAAACAGAGCAATGAAAATACAAATATCCGAGCTATTATGTAAAGTAATGGAGGAAAACGAAAAAAAAAAAACAAGTTCCATACCAACAATTGAGTGTGATAACACGTAACACCAACGGCATAGCTCCAGCAAGACGATACGAACATCAAAATTTTGTTGAAGAGCGACAAGCACTTCTAAAAAATCTGTTTTTTTTTTTTTAAATTGGAATATGTTGGGCGGATAAAACTGCAGTGCAAGAATCTGTAGTTGAATAGCTATGTGAATAATAAATTACGGCCATTAAATAGGTCGAATCGTAATCTTAAAAAAAAGTGATCGGTCCAAAGAAATCAAAATTTGGAACGGCTGGAGTCAGAAAGTTAAAACGAAGGGTGAGATGAGTTTGTTAAAATAATGTGGATCAAAGGGAGACCCAAGAGAGAATACCTTTACCAGTCAAAGCAATGGTGTGAAGGAAGCGACAATGAAACAACGGCTGATCAAAGTATTAAAATAATACCGTTAAAAAAAAAACATTTCAGCCATCAATATTATGGAATGAATAAACGTAAAAGCAAAAGAACACACTGCGCGAAATTCCCAGAATTTATCAAAAAGAACAAAGTATGAAGTGCGAAAGCAAAGTTAATCACAGGTATATCAAGGTGCGTCACGTGTTTGCGATAAATGCTTGATGATATCCACCCAATTCCAACCACGTTCCTGCAAAAAAAGAAAATTCAAAAATAATATTCAAACTGCGAAACAAGGTTAGCTCCAGAGTCAGAACATGTTCATAGCACGTTCCTATCAATGCGAGGGGAAGGAAATAGTAGAATAGAGGGACTGGATTTAAGTGTCATGTGTAAGAAGACATTTTACGATGCAGTTCCTGTGTTTCATCCCTTAGCTGTAAACATAGACTGAACTTGAAATAGTAGAATAGAGGGTTTGGACTTAAGTGTCATAGGAAAGAAGACATTTTACGATGCAATGTCTCTGTGTTTCATCCCTTAGCTGTAAGCACTAACCGAACTATACATGCTGCTAAGAGCGGGAATCATCAGTACAGCCACCTACTCACCATGTACTGAACGGTCACGTGACTAATCTGCATGACGGATATGCGAAAGAAAGAGAGAACAGAGAAGCAGAGAACGAAGAGAGTGAGAGGGAGGGTGGAGCCGCGATCGATATCTAGCAATTTTCCAACACTCGCTATGTTTGAAGCCGCATCACACGCAAAATTCAGCTTGTTGATGGCCCTTCCCCTCCCCCTTTTTTTTCTGTTCTTCCGAAAAGATATGCATGAAGTATTACACTATAATTATCAGCTAGTTCTTCAAAAATATTATTAAAGACGCGTTCCACAAGTACTCAGAACGATCGATACTACGGTGGCTAACAGCAAAGAATTCTGGACTAAGGAGCTTCATGTATATAAACCCTTGG